CAAAAAGTCAAAGTTTGACTTTTCAGTGAACAGTTGACTTTTTCATCAGTTGACCAAATTTCAACTATCAATTGATCTTGGGAAATGAATTGAACCATGAAATTAGGTCAAGATGATGCATTTTAATCCTTGATATCATGATTCAAACTAATAAGTCGTGTATTAGGTCAAAAGTAAAAAAATCAAGCCTTCTCAGTCAAAACCCTAATTTTGACCATTTTGCCCTTTTTATGATCTGAGTAATTTTCTTGGGGAATTGTGATTCAAACTTGATCAAATGATACATATGAGTTCAAAATGTTGATATGGGTCAAAAATCTTGAAGTTTGACTGTAAGTTGACCAAAGTTGATTTTTTACCCAATATAGTTGATTTTAGGTCATCTGATCAATTGACTGAGCAAACTTGAACTGCAAGGCTTGAAACTTGACATGAGAAATATTGAAAGTCCATAATGATCTATGAAAGTCATATGAGTCATTAAAAATACAACTGTCCTTGTGAAAAATCAAACCCTAATTTAAGGCATCAATGTTGAGGAGATGTCTTGACCTAGTCAATCCTTGTGCAAGCTTGAGCTATTGAAGATCTTGGGAAATGTCTTGAGAAATGTCTTGAGAAATGAGAGGGAAAATTTTGGGGTACAACATAAGGCATATTAATCTGCGACAAGAATAGGTTCCTGGGTTGAGGGGGAGTGAATATTATCTTCTTCCTCGTGTGCATCACGTGCATCAGATGTCGTCAGGACTTTCCTTCCTTTTATCCTGAGGTTTCTATTATTTGGCGCACTGAAGTTATTTCTGCAATGGAGCTCGTTCAATATGCTAGAAAAAGATGTCAAACAAGATGTCCTGACATTTGTACTAAAGACTAGCTCAATGATGATATGTTATTGTGTTAAGTATTTTCTGAGGACTACTGTTGGTGGATGTTTTTGTTTATTGCTGTAATCTGGATTGTAATTATTTGTTTTAACTAAAAAATTCCAAATGGGGAGATTGTAAGTTCCTTAGTTTTAAGGATTGACATTAATTTTTGTAAAACAAATATAGCATAAATATGTTAAATAGGATATGTGAACTTGCTATGAAGAACAAGTGAAGCAAGAAGTCCTATTTCATGTTGGGACATGTTAAGTTAAAGTGCTTCAACATATGGAGCAATATGTCGAATAAGATGTCTTATGCAGGGTCATACGACATCGCGCCTGAGCTGAACTGGATTGTTATATTCTATTAAGTCACAAAGACAAAATATACTTTGAGGATATTATATTATCCTATGTGGCGCTGAGTTGTAGGTCAAGAAGAATATTGAATTTATAAATATGGATATAATTTAGGAAGATTTGATTGAAGACATATTTTGTTGCAGAAGTTTCTGCTGTTTTGTAACAACCAAAGAGTTGTGTTTTAAAGGCCCAAATCCAGTTGGGTATAGGTTATAAATAGAAGCATTGTAACCTAGGATTAGGTACCAGCCGAGAATTGTAAAGATGTAATCATTAGGAATGAGTCTGTAGACATTCTCTAGGAGAGTTGGTGTAAGTGAACCACTCGGGTTGTGAGATGGTCATTGTGTTCTCACTCAAAAACTATGAAGTAATGAGTTGAGTATTGTTCTCGGAGGAAGCTTGTAAGAAACTCCAAGTTGTGTTCTTAGTCAAGAGTCTTGGCCAAATATTGTCATGGAAGTGTGTCTTCTATTTTGATGTCATGGAAGTGTGTTTTCCTATTTTTATCCAATCACCGCCTATGATTGATGAGGGATTGAGGAGTGTCTCATATCTAGGTGAGTCTTAGATATAAGCCTAGAAAGGGTATTGATTAAGTGATTAGGTCGTAAACTGGATATTTGTTGTAGGGTCTATGAATTGATACAATTTTAGTGGACTTATCTCTGACTTGGTATACCCCAGAGTAGGAAGATTGTTCTGAACTGAGTTAACAAGTTATGTGTGTTATTTATGCTTTTCAGTATTGTTTTTTTTAATGTTTATATCTTGCCTGATTTGTTAAAGTCAGATAAGATGTCTCAACATGTCATAGGACATCTGAATTCTGTCATACCATAATTTCAGCCTAGTTAACGGCGAATCTGGATAAAATACTTGTGTCCCTTTCTCTTTATTGTCTTTATAGCTATTATCATTTGAGTGTTAAGAATTTAGAAAAGGGGAATGTTTTCTATGAACACAATTCAAAACCCCTTTCTTGTGTTTTATCTACCTTCATGGTGTTCTTGTCAAATACGATGTCCATGATTGACTGTGTTAATGGTGTTCGTTTTTCAGCGGTCTTAGATCCTATATTTAGTTATTGTAAGCACCTGTTAGAAGGTTTTAAGCATGTTTTAATGTTGTTTTAGAGCAGATCTTATAATGTAGATGCTCATCATAGTGAAAATATACAAAGCACTTGGTAACAGAACTTGGTTGAGCCACATTTCCTTGATGGAGGATGGTCCCTTGAGTGTTCCATTCATTTCGGTTTCGTTTTCTTTTTAATGATTGAACCTATTATAAAAAACAATCACTATCTCTCACTTAGCTCGTATAGTCCGACCCGTAAAATCATAGGGTTTGGGCCTTTAAATTAGAGTTCATATTTTTAAAGACTTTTTTAACTTAGCCCGAAAAAGCCACTACCCATTAGAGCTAGTCCGCATGAGCCGCGGGTAGCTCATTTGGTCCACATAACTAGGAATTCAAGAAAAAATCATATTAATTCTTATATTTTGTTTCTCTAAAATAACACATTGATTTTTCTCACTTCACTAAATTTTGTCTCTATTCTATTTAATCTTTCTCTTTTAAATATTACACATTAATATAATAAACACTTTTTCCTCGTGTTCTATTAATTTCTCTTATATTAAATATTTGAGTATTATTTTCTACAATTTAGATATGTATTGCATTTAAAATCATATTATAGTATTTATAAAAGATAATATAATACTTAAAAATGTATTATGTTCAAAATAATATAATTTTTAATTTTATTTATAATAAATATTATGGGTTTTTTATTTTAATTTTTTTAATTAAAAAAGTCCGTTTAAGATCGGGTAGCCTGAAGTCCATCTAAGACCGGGTTCAGGTAGTAATTTTAAGGCTCATATTACAATAGGGCTTTTTTGACTCAGCTCTAAAAAATTCAGGCCTATCAAAATCGATCCATTTAAAATCGGATAACCCATTTTAACAACTCTAATAGAGAGACATTAATAATTTGATTTTGAATTTTATAATTTGTAAAATAAATTTTATACAAATTCTCTAATTTAAAAACTTAAATACCTTTAATATTTTGTTTTAAATAATTCTCAATATCTTTAGAGACCATTTCACTTATAAATTTTAATTTTTGTGCAGTAATTAGAATAACTATTAAAACTTATTATGTTTTTGGGGTAGTTTCCCCGTTGTCCAAGTTATTTTCAATTGGGAAAATAATTATATTTAGTTCTTTTTAATAAATAATTTAAAATTACTTAAGGCAATAAATATAATTTTTTTTACAATAACCAAGTATTAAAATAATATTTCGCAAATAACCGCGTTTCGAAAAAAATACGTAAATAACCATGTTTCAGATGACTCCCCAAAGGAGGAGCCATCTGAATTGGCGCATCCACCCATACTTTTGCCCTAGGCGCCATCTCACTTGGCGCCTCCCTTCACTTTTAGTCAAGTGAGATGGCGCATGCTCCTTAAAAGTGAGAGGAGACGCCTTCTCACTTGGCTCCTAGGGAAAAACTAGGATAAAATGCTGTTTTATAAATAATTCGTCCGTTTCTCCGAAATTTCCACACTTTCTCGCACTGTATTTTTATTTTTTTACTATGTTATTTGCGTCATGACGTCGCCCATGATTTTTAGCAGAGATGGTTACGTTATCTTCTCCTCCACGAAACCTGCGATGAAAATGAAATTCTGGCACATTCACTACATGCGCCATCGACCCTGCCGCAGCAGGAAACGCGACGACACCCAGCACGGAAAAGACGAGGACGGGGATGCGGAACCGGGGGTCATTACCGGGTTCCGAGGGATCACTGATTTATCTGTTTTTTTTCCTGTATTTTTTTATCTGTTTTTTTTATCTGTTTTTTTTTATCTGTTTTTTTAATGTAAAACAGTTGGATGTAATTTTTTTTTTAATAAAAAGTCCATTTTGTTGATCTTGTATCCAATACGCAACGCACCGGTAAAAAAAAATCAATTTTTGCCCTAAAATAACACCTAGGCGCCATCTCACTTGGCTTAGGGCATGCCCTAAGCACATAGGCGTCAAGTGAGATGGCGCATCCCCTTAAAAAATAGGAGTAGGCGCCAATTCAGATGGCTCCTCTTTTGGGAAGTCATCTGAAACATGGTTATTTGCGTAATTTTTTCTGAAACGCGATTATTTGCGAAATTTTTTTTAATACATGATTATTAAAAAAAAATTCAAATAAATATTCTTCTCATTCTTTTTTTTCTTTCAATTTTTATTTTGTTATTAATCAACCATTAAACATAAAACATAAGTTTCATTCCAATGTATATGAATAATGGTGAAATATTTGTTATTTGTTATTAATCAACCATTAAACATTAGTTTCATTGCAATGTTATGAATAATGATTAAATATAATGATAGAGAGCTAAAATGCTAAACTAAGAAAATTATTTAAACAAAGTAAATAAAATAATAAAAGATAAAAAGATATTTAATTTCATTGGATTGTTAAAATAACACATTACATTTAACATATAGAATTCAATATATCATAAACTTCCATCTGTGTGATACAACCCTAAACACTTAAAAAGCCTCTAAAATATAACACTAATTAATATATTAATATATTAATCACTAAATAAAATAACTAATTAATAATTAATAAATACACCCTATCATATTATTTATCATATGTGTAAAATAATCTAGTTCGGATTATATTCTAAATACCTTAATTTTTCTTGAACATTGATAGTTATAAGTGATAAATTATTTTTTTATACAAGCTTTTAAACATGAACTCACGATATCATTAACACCACCAACATCTGTCAATAGTCGAGTTAGAAAAATAGTTAGTCAACACAATAAATAAATAAAAAATGATTAGTTTAATAATAGGAGTAATATATAAAAGTTAATAAAGAATTACCAATTTTGCCTTTCATGGATTTTGAAATAGAACAATTAGTTGCACAATTATGAACAACTTTGGACATTATCTTATGACATTTCAATAATTCACATGCAGCAACACAACCTGCATATACTGGTATTTGCTTTATGAAACGTGTACATTTATAAGCACACTTTCCAGTACAAATAACATTACCAATTGAACTTTTAGGGTTTGATGAACGTTGAGAATTATCGTTAGCTTGTGCCACAACTAATAACAACATAAGAAAAATTGAAATAAATTTTTTCATCTCAAACTTTGCCATACTTCTTCTTTTATTGTAAATTTTTTTTGTTGTTTTGGTAGTATATGTTAAATTGGTTTTGATGATGAAAAGGAGAGTAGAACATTTCAACTTATAAGAAAATGAATAAATATTTTAAGTATATAAATTGTATAAAAATAAAAATACTAATCAAATATAGAAAAATAGATCAATTACTTAAAAAAAAGTCATTCCTGAACTTATAATAGATATTGTAAAAAATGTCATTTCCCTTTTTTACATATAACATGGTAAAAAATATACCAATTAAATATGGAATGAGACTAATTTTAGCTTGGTAATAAATTGAAAATGGATTCAAAGAATTGGAAACTTTTAATTTTATAAAGACATTGATCTAAATTAAATGAATTTTCGTTCAAACTTGTAATTAACGTAAACCAGATTAAAAATGATATAATAAAAATGAGATTAATTAATTATTGGTTATTTAGTTATTTTTTATTTATTAATATTTTCTAAAATCAAATAGATTGATACTAGTTTAGATTATAATATTAAAAAATAATAATGATCAAGTGAAATCTTTGATGCAACATAATTTTAATTATTTTATATTTTTTTTTAAGGTATAATGATATCTTTTGTATTAGTTTCCTAATTATTTATTGATTTCTTTTCAAAATTAAATTGTGTTAGAACAAAAAGTTTTTAAGAAAGATGAGAGAAGAAGAGAAATTGAGAGACAATTGTAACATGTAATTATGTTATTGTCGATATGTGAGTGGTTATTAGGATTTACATCATAGTGCGTTGCATAAGTACGGATACGTATTCAATACTCGGTACAGGTATTAGTATAAAGTACAATATTTTAAAAAAAAATTGAGATACGGGTACATTAGTATAATTTAAAAAAATATATAATTATAAAAAAAAAAAAAAATTATATTATTTAAATAACAACAAAACATTAAAATAAAAAACAATTTGCTTAAAAAATTAATATATGCGTAATAACGTAAGAAAATCACACTTAAAAAGTATTAATAAATCATAAAATCATGGTTGAATATTAATACTTCCTTCTCCAATATCATTAAAAAGAGCGACTTATAGTTCAGATTCATCGAGAGAAAGACTAGCAATTTCAAGAATACCAACTTCATCAAAAAGATTTCATTCATCTCCACCAATTTCCCATATTTTTGTTGCTCTTTCATTATAAACCTTACTCTTTCTCGGGAGAAGACAAAGATTTGTATTAACAAAAACTAAATCTTCAGCCCTCTTTAAATTAAGTCTATTTCTTTTCAATGAGTGAATAAATACATACGTGCTCCAATTTTTCTCGGCAGAAGATGAAGAACTTGGTTGTGAAAGAAACTTCAATGCAATAGATTGGAGTTTAGGGATTAAAGATCCATAAATTATCCAACATTCCTTTGGTTTCAATTTTCACCTATCCGGAAAAAAATTGGGCACGTGGTACCAAATGTGTACCGGTTGATGTACCAACTTAAAATATAAATGAAAAAAATTTAGTACGACTTTGGTGCGTACCATACGAGTATCAGTACTCAGTATTGGTACTTTATCTAAAATGGAGTACTCGTGCTTCACAGACACCATACAATGCTTTTATATAGGAAACTAATGCCCATACCCAAAACTATACAAATCAACCCATTCCTAACATATACAAGGTATATTTCGACTTCAACACACCAGCTAAATGTTGTATTGGACTTTGTCGAATACAACTGACTCCTACACAATCAACTATCTATTTCGACATAGTCGAATTCTAGCTATCTATAGAACATCGAATTACAACTTCTAACACTCCCCTAACTCATGTTCTTGAGACTTCACATCCCGATGCTTCTCTTTAACTCGTCGAACTTGACTTTCTTCAGGGGTTTGGTGAGTATGTCAGCTAATTGTCATTTTGTCTTGCAATGGTCAAGTTCAAGATTTTTTGTTAACTTGATCCTTTAGAAAATGATATATCATCTCTATGTATTTACTTTGAACATGACACGTATGATGATTCACTAGGTCAATAGCGGACTTGTTATCGACAAACAACTTCATTTTCCCAGGTTCTTTGATCTTGAGCTCTTCAAGAAATATCTCTATCCATGATTCTTGACAAGCAGCATATGATGCAACTATGCATTCAACTTCACATGATAACAAAGCCATAATGCTTTGCTTCCTTGAGCTCCAACATATTGGAGTGCCTTCGATCATGAATATATAGCCTATGATACGCTTCTTCTCGTCTTGATCTCCACTGAAAGTTGAATCAGTGTAACCATATACTTTTGCATCTATGATGGTCTTCTTCTACCTTGGATCAACACACCATGATAAAGCATACCATTTATGTATCTCAACACTGTCTTTATTGTAATGAGATGAAATTCTTGAGGTTTCTCCATGAATATGTTCAACAATCTGACACTTTGACAAATGTCTGGCCTGATGTTGCAAAAATACCTCAAGGATACAATGATGTGTTTATACAATGTCTCACTTACAAATTCATCATTTGTATCCTTCTTCAACTTTGCTCCAGTTTCTAATAGCATGGCAGCTTCATTACAGTTGCTCATCTTGAACCTCTTCAAGATATCTTGAGCATAATTCTTCTGGTGCAAGAATACTCTTTCACTTGTGTCTTTGAATTCCATCCCTAATAAATATGAAAAATTCCCTAGGTCGTACATGTCAAACTCATGCATCATCTTCGACTTGAATTTTTTCATCTCTACCTCATCTGCACATGTGATCAATAAATCATCTAAATACAGACATAGAATGATTGTACTTACCATGTTAGTATCTTTTACATACACTCCATGTTTAGAGACACACTTTATGAAACCTACTTCAATAAAGAAGCTATCTATTCTCTTATTGCAAGCCCTCTGGGATTTTTTCAAACCATATAGAGTCTTCCTCAATCCATACACCTTCGACTCCTGTCCTTTGATATTGAATCCTGGTAGTTGAGTGAAATATACATCTTCGTCCAATGGTCCGTTAAAAATGTTGATTTTACATCCAACTGGTGTATCTTCTATCCTTTGTATGTTGTTATTGACACAATAATTCTGATTGTCTCTAGCCTTGCAACAGGTTCATAGACTTTGTCGAAGTCGATACCAGATCTTTGTAGAAAACCTCTTGCCATTAGTCTTGCCTTATACTTGGCAATTTCACCATTTGACCTTTGTTTTAACTTGTAGATCAATTTTACATCGATTTGCTTCTTGCTAGATCTTTCAACAAGCTCCCATGTCTTGTTCTTCTCGATTGCTCTGAGTTCTTATTTCATGGCTTTCAACCCATTCAAATCATTTATGACTTGATCCAAATTGATTAGTTCTACTTCAGCCATCATCATAACTTCTTCTATTAAGATCATCTACATCAATAGCTTGTTTAGGAAATATCTCATATCCAACTAGCCTTGTCAACTTAATTTTCGCTATAATCGATCTTCTAACATTCTGCTCAGGTGGTTCTTCATTTCAATTGGTTGTGAATTCGGTTTGTTGATCTTCTTCTTCAAACATAATTGTGATTGTATCTGACTCCTGTCAAACTGACTCCTGAGTCTAGTTCCACCATTTGCTTTCATCTACCAGTATATCTCAATTGATCACTAGTTTATAATCGTTTGGTGAATAGAGTTTGTATTCACTAGTCGAATGATAATCTATGAGCACCATGGCCTGACTTCGATCATTTACCGTCTTCCTCAATTGCTCAGGTACATGCATGAAGCACATTGATTCAAATCTTCTAAGATGACTTACATTTGACTTCGACCCTGTCCAAGCCTCATAAGGTGTCTTGTCGACCATTTTCTTGGTTGGACATCTGTTAAGTATGTACGCTGCTGTTGAAACTACTTCTCCCTAAAATCTCTTTGGCATTTCTTTAGCTTTCAATCTACTTTTGACCATGTTCAATATACTTCAATTCTTCCTCTCAGCTATACCATTGTGCTAATATGTATAGGGTGCAATGACCTCATGTTGTATACCTTTCTCAATGTAAAACCTTGCAAATTCTCGAGAAGTGTATTCACCTCTACCACTAGTTCTCAGTTTCTTCAACTTGAATCCAATTTATTTTTTGACATGCAATTTAAACTTCTTGAGTCGTGTGAATACCCCACTCATCTTTTCGATCAAATATATTGTTGTAACCGGTTTTAAAATGAGATTCTCCATCCTTAATTTTTATCCTAAGGAATGGAATATAAAGGTTAACCCTAAATAAGTCATAGATTCTAAGTTGTTGGGCTCGTTTTTAGACGAAGAAAATGTGTTAAGCACCCCCTCCTCTACCTTGTTCACAAGGATACTAGGGTTTAGAATTACGGCTTAGGAAATAGGATTTTAATTTTTATTAGGGGAACTCGCCACGATTTTAGTCGTATGCCTATGTATCCTCTTAGGAGGAATCAGAGTCTCAATTCGTAGTTCGCAGTGTTGGTTTGTGTTTTTTATAGGATTGTGTTGAATCGCTTTCGAATTATCCTCGAACCTTGTCTGAGTTGTAAGTTGAGTGATCGTAGACGCAATTCGCAGTTAATTTTGAAAGTAATTCTCCTTAATCCTTTTTCGAAAATATCTTGATTTTGATTATGTTAGTAGAAAATGATTTGAGTTGTTGGTTAGCTGTTTTGAATTTCGATTGATCGAGTATGATAGGTTGTAGAGCGAGGGGAGTCTGATAAAATCTCCTCATAATGTGGCCAGATATTAGCCATGTGTCGCTCGTCATGAAGGATACAAAGGGAGTCTGATAAAGTCTTCCTCATTACATGATCAGATATTGGCCACGTGTCGCTCATGGATGAAGTATTTGGTTAGTCGCGTGAGTTTAAATATCTTCTTGAACTGTTGAATTAATTCATTTGAAAAAGTTGTTTGATTGGTAAAAATAATTAAATAACTAATCTAAATTGAATAAATTATTTAAAACTAATTTGACTAACAAAAATTAATTAACCTAAT